GTGCAAGCTGTCGGCTGTAGAGCTTTGAGGTAAGCGGTAAATTATCTCTTTAGTTACATAACTCAATCATCGTGGTCAACACTGCACAGAGATGAGGCTCTATCGTAGCTAGCTGTATGAAGTTTCGCTTTTTCACCTTAACTTTTATGAAAGCAAGTTTCTTCCGGCAGGAGGATGCAAAATGTCTTTCTTGCAGCGAAGAAGAACATGCCCCTGTCTCTTTTGAAAAGTGAACAAATACAGTGGATTCCGCAGCTACCGTGTAATTGACTTCTCAAAAGGGTTTTTGTTATTTTTTGCGTATGACATCGCATTGCGTCGCAAAATGCGCAAGACTGTCGCACCATTACGGTAGCATACTGTATGCAAGAAAGTTCTGACAGCATGAACAGTGCTTTTTTTCAGCCTCTTCTTGTTTGAAAGTTGTTCTCGCAGTAAAAAGAAAAGGAGAGTCTTTCTAGAATAAGCGTGTCCCATTTGAACGGAACACAAAGGAATTTTACATTTTCTAGCATCTTTTCACCTCTTTTCAATTCTTTTTCTTTGGAATTTTTTTGATTCACCATCCCAAAATATTGATCGCTGCATTCATATCAGAATGCAATTAGTTTGGATTCTATTTGTCGCTTTTCACTGAAGACGATTCGGTCGTTTGTAAATAAGAACGAAGAGGGTTTTGCAAGGTTGCATGTTTTTTACGATTTGCTTGCCACTTCTGCACCTTTCCCAAGATAGTTAGTCAGCGTAAAAACTTGAGTGGGAGGTGTTTGAACATTTTTTTATGCATGAGCAAGAATGCACTATTTTTATTCAATGCCGACATCACCTTAAGATAATCTTTCGCAATTTTTGATGCCTGATTTTTGATTCCAATTTTTCATTTTCGACCAATAATTACTGTATCTAAGTTATAATTTACTCATGCATATTATTATTATTGGAAAGTCTACCATGTTCCGCCTAGAGCTGCTATGTGCTACAATAACAGCACTATTCGTCTAGTGTACGTCAGCGCTTGTTTGTCTGTGAGCTACTTCCTTCTTGGAAAAAACGTTTCTTTCGTAAATCTACTGATAACTAATCAGACGGCTGATATACTGGAAAATTGTTGCCTTCATTTTACAAAAATATTTTGATTTTGCTGATTTTGCAAGATTATGCAGTTACACTGCTTACTCTTTTATTATGAGTGTTGAAATCGTGATAGTCGGAATCTACCGTGTAGTTACGCAATCCAACCTAACGTGAGGTATAATTTTATTGGGTTAATGGTTTGTTGCAGGGTAATACTAGAAAACGTCTGAGATGTTATTAGCTTTTGCTCGACGATTTCTGAGGCCTTGAAAAAATTGCAAAATCTCTCATGTAAAGCAGATCAATCAACTCTGGCAAGTTCAGTAGCTCTCTTTATTGCTCATTTTTATATGGTTCTTACACGGTTGGGTTACGATAACCTGGTCAAGGTAGGAAATCAGAATCACCCACACGATCAAAATTGAAATTGAGGATTTGCAGTAAATTTCAAAATTCCATTCAAACATTCAGGCTAGGGCAGCGTAAGCATGTGGCTACCGTATAGCTACCGTACTTCTCGTTGCTATATTTTTGGTGCGATCTCTATGCTCGGCTTATTAGCTATAACAATCGGATCAAACAAAAACACTAGCGACCTGGTTTTACTACAAACTTACGTCGCATCATTTTTGCACCCTTATATTAGCACACTGTAATGGTGCAAAAGGCCCGCACTACCGAAATACTTCCCATTCTAAGGACTAACCAATGATAACAATGAAGAAGCGAAAAGGGGGCTTTGGCGAGGATACTGTGATAAATTACTTTAGAAAAATTTGTAGAATGAGATGTGCAGTTTTTATGCTAGATGTCCTCCTTTTGAGTTAAAAATGCTTGCCATCATTTTTTTGCTCGTTACCGTAACCCAAGACATGAAGTCAAGGCAAAAACTGCTCTTTGAATCTGCTTTCTGATAGCTTTCCCACCAAGTACCTTTTACTTGGTTTTCCCTCATATAAGTTTTATGAAGTTACGTAAGTTCCCAGGTCAAGAGACAATGTTAACACTTTTTGCAACTGGCTATTCCATGTGTTTTTCCCCCGGTGATATATGTGTTACCTAGGTAACAGTCAGCGCATCGAACTTTATTGAAATGTACAGCCTATCCAGTCATTGCTACCTCGCTACAACTCTCGTACTTGTACCTAGCAACTTACAGCTGAGACAGCTTATTTAAAATTTCATTGTGGTACATATTGAGTTTTAATTGGTAGATCATTATTCGTACGTTGAGTACTGTACTTTTGAAGGGCAATATGACTAGGGGATAAGTCGACCATTTAGGGTATTTCGGCTAGTTCTTGTCATATTCAGAATCATACGGTTACTCTTCTCTATCGTTTGCTGAAAGAAATCTATTTTGAAAAGCTTAGGACACCGTATATATCCTGTCATCTTTCTAGAAAATTCATGGTAATCATATTGTCAAAAATTGAAAAAAGCAAACAATAGATACCTTATCATTCTGCTTTTCTTTCTAAAAAAAACTTTTTTTTTCAAAAGAAAAATCAAGACGTGTCAAATACCTCAATATTTTGCTGAAAAATTCAGGAAGAAGTATTTTTCGGAAATTTTAGGTCAGGTTTCCTACCATTTTGTTTAAACATTTCAAAACATCCATTTCAATGAAAAATTTTAAAAAAATTAGAAATGAAAAATTAAAGAAAATGTATTGAACCTATCGTCCTTTTGCTGGTTCAAGAGAATGTTCTTAACATTTTGCTGAGAAAAATAGAAAAGCCTCGAGTCTTTTACCAATTCATAAGAAATTCTAGAAAGTCTCTTCTGTTAGAAAATTGGAGACTAAGTTTCAAATCTTTTATCATTTCAAAATTCACGAAAACGCTCATACCTCCTAGCGAAATTTTTTCTCAGGAACATTAAACCCCTTATCTTCTAATCTTTTTCTTTTTCAGAATTCTATCCATATTAAGGTTCTCGGCATCTACATACACTATTAATTTCATATTCTCTGCTAATTTTTTGAAGCAATTTTTTAGCCTGCTCGTACATGGTTCCCCCAAGAGATTGAAATGAAAACAAAGAACAATTTCCGAAGTTTGAAGACAACAAAGATCACAGTGTGCGGAGGATGCTCACTTTTTTCTAACCTGCAAAATCTATTATATATAGAAATTTAGGGTATAATTTAAAGCTTGATTCACCTATTTTGAAGGAACTGCGGCTCTCCTTTGAGCAGCGAAAATCAGACGCAATTCAGAAGCCAATCAGTGCTGTACAAACCTTATTATGATTACGTTTTCTATTGTCTGTGGGAGTTGGTCATGTACTAGGCTAGTATATGCTTCACATTTTAGAGACTGGAAGGGATCCTATGATATTTTTTAGCTTTTGATAACCCTATACCTGAAAAATGTGCCATCAGCAGTCAACGTTCCTGTTCAACCCTAATTTCCGCACAAAAATCCAAATTATGTATTATAGCAATTCGAGCTGGAGGTACTTGGTCTTTTTAAGCTCAGGAATCTCAAGTCCCTCCGAAAATTACGTGAATTCTTCTGTCGTCCTTATATTCTATTCCTTCTCTTCCTCATTTCTGGAAACCTGTGCATTTTTTTCTTTTTTTTTCTTCTTCATCCTGGTGTTCAGTTCTTTTCGCACTTTTTCTTTTTCTAAGCTGTATCGTTCCCTTTTTACGCACGAAAAAAATTATGTGCTCTTTTCAGAATTATGAAAGAAGGAACCGCACCTTCACCATGTGTTGCAGATCAACAAGCCACTACGGCGGTCTTCTCGTAAGTCTTCACATTTTTTCCAAAAGCTGAATAGCTAAGATCTTGGAGCTTCTGTAGAAGATCGCAAGGCCAAAGAAGCCACTAGCTATCACTACGATCCGTAATAATTGCTCTAGACTAATTTCCGTCAACAACTGGTGCATATAACGATGTGCAAGTATTAGTCGCAACATAATGAGTACTCTCAAGAAGGGGGAGGGGGAGGGGAGCAGGACGAGGGAGGAGGGGAGAAAGAATGCTGAAAATTAGAAGACGTTTGTCATTATGTTTGTGTCTTCGCAATTTTGCCGTGTGTCTGTCTCTGTGATTTTGCCGCTGAATGTCTCAGATGTGGGCTAGCTCAAACTCAAATTTCTTCTTAGCTGTAAAGATTTGCTTCTTTTTGATTTTGGCAATAGTGGAAATATAATAAAACTCTTTTTCACACCTCAATCAATGTAAATTGTATCCACAACCTAGAAATCAATATTTTATGAGAATAACTACAGCACTTATGAGTACCTTGGACTTTTCTCGAGCATAAGTATAATAAATTCTGACAGCTCATAGTCCTCATAATATGTACTTAAATGAGGCCACGTGACCAAAACGCCTTGAATTTGTGATTTCTGGAGAATGTGTAAGGTATATAAGCGCGGAGTTCTCTTATACTTCTTTCTTTTCAAATCGCATAATCTGATTTTTCTTCCTAACAACGTTCCCTAATTCTAATAAATTTTTTCATTCATATTGTTCCCTCAAAAAGCATCGGCAACTAAATTTAAAAACCGCGATATACTACGACATCAAAAGAGAAAAGAAAATTTGAGAGAAAATTACCCAAAAGAGACATAAGCGGTGAGAAGAGACTAGGCGAAAAGATTACCTTGGCAATTTTTGATCAGAAACATTATGTGGTTTTGAGAGATGAGCTAGTGAGAAGAGAATGGCGCTGTTTTGAGAAAAATACACAAAAATAAAATTAACCAACGTCTCCCCCCCCCCTACCACACCACTTCTTGAGCTCTCTACTTGATTATTTTGGAACTCTTGAGTCAGCAGACTACGTCACTGCAAAATAATCCGTTCTCACGTCGAAGGGAAACCTGCTGAGAAAGCCTAGATTACTGTGATAAATGGGGGGGGGGGAAAGGAATAGAGGGGGGGGGGGGTGGAATAGGAGGGGATTGTTTACTGCATTAGCATCGTCTTTGTAGCTTTGTAACTTGCCCTTTTTTGAATAAGAATATCCTGCACTTGAAATCTGCGATTTCACTTCGAGAACCATTGAAATGCACGTAAAATTCTCAAAAAATCTATCTCGAAAGAAATTTTGAGATGAAAAGTGACTGATTATTCAAGGAAATAATGAAATTCTTTTGCAGATTTGCAAACAAACTCCGCGACCAAGATCAATCGTTTATGAATCGTACATTTACCATTGATACCAATAAACGAGAAAGAATGGCCGAGTTTAAAATTGATGGTAAGCTTTAGACTGTAAAATTGATTTTTGGAATGCTAATATTGCCATTTTTGCCAAGTCTCTGATTTCTGACCTTCAGAAGCACTTCGTGGTTTTTTACCTCGTTCGCAAAGCAGTGATACGCGAAGACGATCATGCAAGGCTTCAAACGAAGCTCGCAGGTAAGTCAAAAAATTATTTTTCTATGCCGGTTATGGAAGATTCAAATTTTTATATTCCAGGGCCTGCTCACACCCTTTATTCTCCGCGTCCTGCAAATTGCCATCCATTACAAGCAATAAACAAAAAGTGGAGACCCGAACATGCACCCTGAGGCCATGGAGTCGAACCCAGGAAGAACTGCGAAAGTTTAAAGAAGCTTTAAACTAACGTAATTTCACTATTTGTCGCAGGAAGATAATATTTTACCGTCAGCAACGCAGACTTCAAAACGCAATCTTTGTTGCGGCGCGGTTCCAATGCCTTTGAGTCACCGAGAGAGTGTGTGTACATAGGAGACGCAGACGGCTAGAACCGCGCCGCACCAGTAACTGCAGCTCTATGCATAATTTGCGTTGGTGATTTGCTTATAAATACAGTGTTTAGAACCCCCATAACCTGTGGATGTTCATACTAGTTCGGTTGCCTCGATACGTGTTCACTTTTCCCCATGTAACCAATCAATAGTCTGAGATTTGTCGTAATATGTAACGTGTCGTCACTTGATGTGCTTCTTGTGCAAATGCGTATGTTTTCACAGATTTACTTCACAAATGATTTTACAGCAGCATAAAACGTAATAAAACTCAAATCGTACATAATATTATGGCAACGCAAAGCAACCAGCATTTCAAAGATCAGAATCAGCACACTCATTTAACTAATGACTCGACGACGACGACGAAAACAAGAACTATACTCTCTTTGAGAGAGTTGAAAACGGCAGATTAACAATTAAATGATCGCTTAGTCATGGCAATTTTCTCGTACCGAGCACCATACTTGACCATGCTGAAAAAAATTAGTATACACTGCTTTTCACCAAAGAAGTTAGAGACACAGAGGATGGACAGGCACTAAAGAAGCAGAAAATCAGAGCCGCAGAGGAAAAGGAGATACTATAAAAACAGAGTTTTTTTCTTTGGTTTCCTTGCTGCATTTTAGAAGAACTAGAGTTCATAATTTGTGCTGCTTTTTAAATGCTAGAGACGCAGAGAAATAGCAGACATTAGAGAAGCAGAAAATCTTTTTTTTTACCATGCATATGCATTCACCATGGTAAATTTTGGAGGTTAGAGACGCAGAGGAAAAGTAAGCAGTGAGGAATTAGAGACGCAGAGGACGAGAAGACATCAGAGAAGCAGAAAACTTCAATCACATTTGCATGTAATGCGCCTTAGAAGTTAGAATAGCGGTGGAGGGGTGGAGATTAAAGAAGGAGAGACAGAAAAACTAGAGGCCACAGACGCAGAAGAATGGCATACACTAGAGAAGCAGAAATTATTTGGCAGTTAGAGACGCAAACAACGAGTAGAGGCTGTAGAAGCAGAAAATTCTCTTACTTCGCGTATGCATTTGGTGCATATTAGTTGAAAATGCAGAGCAGAGGCAGACGTAGGAGACAAAAAATATTTTTCTCACATGGTGCGCTTTGAAAATTAAAATTTTTTATTCAGTTCACAGGTGCACTTTGGAAAAATGAGGGCAGAGGAAAGAACAGACGCTAGAGAAGCATTCTTGCATATTTGCATGCGGTGTTAAAAGTTAGAGACGCAGAGGAAGGAACAGAAACTATAGAAGTAGAAAATCTTACTTCACATTTGCATGTAGTACATTTTTCATCGGGTGGTGTCCAACGTTCACCTTCTTTCCGTAATTGTCCGTCCACATTACAATGTTGATGTGCTCGACGCTTGCGGCTGGAATCCACGAATTCTAGACTAAATGCGAAGAATTACAACCGTGCCGCGAGTGGGTATTGAGACCGCCCACGTCGTCGGCAGGGTTGAAAAAAAATTTGGCAAAACAACTGCAAAATGACAATTACATCTAATATGCTTTTTAATGTAAAAATATCATAATATCGACTAATCAAGAATTTGTATTAATTTTTGGAACTCCGGGGCCGTGTTGAATTAGGATCTTTTTTATCGGAATCGATCCTCTTTGTGCAAAGTTCTCCCGTGCAATATGAGAAGAAATTATGGGTTATATATAATTATTGCCCCCCCCCCCCCTCCCGTGATTCGAGATGTCAAAATTGGGTTATCAAATTCAGAAGAATAAGGTCATTTCAATGCGCAAAATTGATTTTGATGAAGTACGATAATGGTGTAAAGACTAAGTAAAATTAGCTTAATTTTTAGCATTAGGTAACAAATAGACGTAATGAATAGATAGGTTTAGACAAAAGTGCAATCAAGTTGAAATACAAACTTCTTACTATGACTTCGCAATTTTCTACCATATCGTGTAAGCAGAACTGTAGAAGAAGTATGGTGGCCTTATGTTTGTATTGAATCTTTTGCACCCATTTACCGTACGCTACCGTAACCCGAGTATCCTCGAAAAGCAAGACTTGAACTGCTCATTCATATTTTGCTTCCTTTTTTCGTGGTTGCAGGAGTTTGGAGCATTTTTACGCGTAGCAGCGCTACAAAACGGTTGTCTCAAGTACGGTAGCATATTGTAGTGGTGCAAAAGGGCCGTTTGCTCAGAACTTGTTTCAACAAAGCCAAAAGGATTTTTTTGTGAAAGAAATTTCAGATTGGTTATAATGAACTTAGAGTGCACTGGCTATGATACAATGTAGATCCTTAGTAAATGCTTTCGCCATTGCCGCCTTTAGGTTGGTTGGTAACACTTTTTTGACACCACCCCCCTCCCCAAAAAGAAATTTCCCTTAATGGTCTAAATTTCAGGTTTGGCCACATAATAATCAATCCTACTCTGCACCAGGCTTCTTCGCTCATTTGGACTATCAAGGATCACGGAAAAATATTGGATTACGGTAGGACTACTTTCCTAATCTCTGAACACTACTGGCGACTTCCGGGTTCTAACAAGGTACAAACAGAAGCCCCTGATGTTTGTAGACGTAAACCATATAATTTCCCAAGGGGGCGGGCAGATCTAGCCTCTTAGTGCTAGATGATTATGTATAATGGAAAAATTATATTGATAAGACCCGTGACCAAGGAGTAAAAGAATAAGGGTAAGAGAAATTATTTCTCCTCATTATAAAAGCAAATGAGCGTGAAAAAAACAAATGTACTATAGTGTGCGTTTGTAATTGGAAAAAACGGCCTTTAATTACATGTAATTGAAATGTAATGCAGATTTTTCCAAAAAATTGAGTACATGGCATTCTTATAATTTCGTTCATTCCAAGTTTTATTGATAGCACAATGGATTTTCTTACCTCGGTGGTGGCAATGTAGCACATGATGAATCGCAACAGTTCATCCACATATTCAAATTGATTTCCGGAATGTTCTCGCATTTTCCGTAGAACTTCGTCGAGTTACCCGGATAGAAGAAGACATTAGGCTAGAAATTCTCACTTTGACTCCCGACGGAAAACGATGATTTTTGTAAGTTTACCTGTACTCGATCGATGTTATCACCATTATCGCAAAGCAATCGAGCTAGCGAAGCTTTTTTGATTTGTTGTAGTTGTAGCTTCGTGAAAACGCCGTCATTTTCGTACCTAGAAAGAGAAAAACCAAGTTGAACCAACTTCCGAAAAAGGTCCCGACAAGAAATTTACCAAAAGCGATCTCCATCTCGCAATCGCCTGAACTGATCTCCTATGATACATGCGAATGTAGGACCAAATAGCGCATCCGGTAATCGTTTCTCAGCAATTCCACCAACCCATAGGTCGATATTTGCTAAACTGCTTTAATTCGTTTGAAATTGTGCCAAGTGTGTAATTGCGTACCTGGATGACCATATAACTGTCTGAGCCGGTTTCGAACAGTGTTATCTTGGATATCTGCAGCCAGCTCGTCCCAAGTTTCTGGTACTGACAAATTGCAGAATCGACGATATTCGGTATATCTAAAATGGAGAACCTCATGTGGATCCAGACGGGATTCAGATGGGTCCACTGCATTATTTCCGACAGCCAACAATTATAGGGTTCGGAAATGGCCTGCAATTTCTCAGCGAGAAGCGATAAAGCAAAATCAGTGAAAGTGGGCGTGGCAAGGGCGGAGTTTGCCACAATCGGGCGTAACAGAGAGCGGAGTTAGGAACTGAGCGAGGCATAAGAATAATGTAAGAGTACTTAGTTTTATATTGGAAATAACTCTTGTGATATTGAAAAAGAAATTATGAAATTCCAAAAGATTAAAACAATTCCAAAATCAGCAGCTTAATGAATCTTCGATAATTTATCAATGATTCCTCTACTTTATTGATTGAGACTTTTAGTACTACTATATTTGACTAATATTCCCCACATACTGAATTATCTTACCCTGGTAGACCATGATCTCGTCCTCGCTGGATATTCAGGCCTGCGAGATCTTGAGCGACCTACAATTTTAGAATTTTTTATTCAAATCAGAAAAAAGTGACTTAATACGAAACTCACCTCATGGAACCGTCCAAAAAGCTTTTCCGTAAGTTCCATATTGAGTAGCTGATCCGATCTGGGCAGCTTGAGTGGTGAGGCGAAAAGGCCTCTGAGCAAGGGGTCAATGCCACCTTCAGAAAGTAACCGCTCTGGGGCAAAGAATGCCTAGAAATACTTGGCAATGTTCCATGAAAACCACAGGGGACAGAAAAATGAGCTACCTTATTGAGCGGTATATGACCTTCTCTGATTGGTTGGAAATCATTGCCTAGTCGAAATAGTGTAGGATTGACTATTGTATGGCCAAACCTATAAAAACACATAAAAATTGGTTTTTTCCAGTTAGGACCAACCTAAAGGCAGCAGTGGCGAAAGCATTTGCTATTGAAGGGTTTACATTGGAATCATAGCCATTGTAGTCTCCAACAAGTTCATTAAAGCCAGTCTGCAATATAAAGACTATATTTTGGATAGTTTAATAGACAAATTTACGAGAACCGGCCTTTTTGCACCACTACAGTATGCTGTGGTGATTTATGAGATATTTTGCCGTTTGCTACACGAAACACAAAAGTAGAACATGCTCCATCCCCTCAACTTCCTTGGATAAAAAGTGAAAATTTCAGCCATACTGGATGTTCCCGGTGTGCGGATTACGGTAGCATACGGTTACGTGTGCAAAAAGTCCAAATCGAGATTCAAGGCTACATACCCTTCCTAGAATTATCGGCAGCCACTCTGTATAAGTTATGTGCTGCATTACGGCGCCAACAATCTTCCTGGCCTCTGAAAGCAGACTTTACCTTACCCACTGGTAAAAAACTGTGTAAGCAAGCAAACCTTGATAAATCGTCTCTCCATCCCAGTTCACATTGATTTCCAGCAATTTCGCAGCTATTCGATTGTGTTCACGAAGGAATAGCGTGTGCATTGAGATCAACCCTAGCTGAAGGCTGATTCGACTAGATGAAGGGGAACGAATATAGAAAATTAGGCAGACCTGCTCGTTAGCTCTCAAATCTCCAGCCAAGAAGCAACGAATCGGATTCTCTTGCGAGAAATTTCGCTTACAGTCCATGTCCGAGTCTCTCTCGAATGGTAAATAGGGCTTCTGGCCACTAAAGGGGAAAAATGGACTTGATTGGTGGGTAAAAGAAGATGAACTATGACCTACGTTGAGACTATGTCAAAACGGAGTTGACCATGATCGCCAAAAAGGTCTCTCAGCTCTAGCGCCTGAACCTCGGTACTGCCATAGATCGCTGAGCCATCCAGGTAAGACGTGATCTAGAATAGTAACAATCCTACTAAAGTTCAAAAGATTCACAATTTGAAGTCTTTATCAACTTTCGCCCTACCGTACTACACGCCTTCACTTACGGTACGGGCAAAAGTTCTGAGTTAAATATCTCGGCCACGAAAATAGATCATAGGAGCTGCTATTTGGGCAATGTCTCAATCAAGACTCCCCAAACAGAAAGCACATGAGATAACCGGGAATTGAGACTTGCCCCGGCACTGCCTCTAAGTTGCTGCTAAGAACTACCGTAATCTATCTGATAACTTACCACATTCATCTGATCCCTGTAAGTCACTCGCTGGAAGATCAGTGATGTTTCTCCACTCCCACAAATTGCACCGCTTCGTTCAAATTCAATGCAGGGATATCTGACGTGTCTGAAACAAACAACAGATACCATGAAGCCGATTACGGTAGTGAACGAGAGCGATTTAGCTATAGCATACTGCGCACATATACGTATGCTACCGTATTCATTGCATTTGAATTACCAAACAACGGACATCACGGAGTTCTACTATGCGACAATCATTTTCACAAAAATCGGCAAATTTTGGTAGCATACTGTAGCGGCGCAAAAGGACCGTTCGCTCCCGAAAACATCAAAATTGACCAAAGAATCTTACCGTCCAGTATGCAGCTTGGGATCACTCGATGTAAGTGGGATATTGAAACACGGATCGAGATTATCGCAAGTTCTATTGCAAACTGCACCAGAAGCATAGCTTTGGCGTGACACGGCTGGTGGTGTGTGGGTGATATCATGATCTGAAGCAGTGCCTTTGTAACAGTTGTCAGGTAAAACAGCGTTAAAAGTTGCCCGTGTGCTGGATTGTGCCAGTTTCGTGGCAGCGTCGTGTTAGAGCCATGCCAGCGCCGTGCTACCGTTTGCCGAAAGCGGGCATCGTTATGATCGATCGGCGTTCGGCACTAAGCGGGATCGTCGCTGGAACAGCGTCAGCATGGCGCTGCCACGGCGCTGGCGCGGGCAACTCTAGGCAAAGCCTAAGTAATGGAACTCATGGTGCCATACCTATAAACTGTCCCCATTGCATAACCATAGCCGTCAAGAAGGAATGCGGGGTTACGGTAGCTGTGGATACAACAGCGCGCGATACCTAAAACGAAACTAATAATAAGGAAAGCGATTTTCTTGGCAAGAAAAGTATAGAAGCTAACATCTCTGGGATTCGGCTTGGGATACCCATTGTAAAGACGGCCTTTCTCCCATCCTACTGGGGTGCTGAAGCCGTTTTCGTAGATGGGAGGCAAAAGTCGAATCAGGGGCATTTGGGACACGCCCCACATGGGGTGATCGAAGTTGTTGCACTGACCGTCATAGGACCTACAAAGTTAGTGACCTCATCTCCTCTCCAAAGCAGTCTGCAAAAGGGGTAAATATTTACCTGTATTTACTATGGAAGCACATATCCGTACAGGAAGATTTGAACTGCCCCGATTGGCAGCCGGAAAGTTCCATGAGGGTTTGTACGTGTGAGGGGGCCAGCACTGCCTCGTAGGACACATTCGCATCCGGTGTGAGTTTATCCACAGGAAGACGGAGTCCTAGAGAGATCTATTTTTGGTAGTTTATTGCGGGATAGAACTGTAAGGATACTGTAGTAAGCTAAAGCTGCTATGTACCTTTACGTATGTGCTCTTGAACTAATCGAATGCTTTCTTCGTAGATATCGCGGGCTTTGCTTAGTTCTACAGCCTGAATCAGATAATTTTTTGATTTTTGATAAGAATAAAAATTCAAAATGCGAATTAATTAGCGATTTTTTTCGCAAGACCCACCTGTGCAGGAATAGAGAAACGGAACATATTTTTAAGATCCTCAGGATCTGACATTTCTTTTGTGAGTACGGTACGAGTATGGTTTATCGCCCTGAAAAATACTTTTAGTAAGGCTGCGTCCAGAGTTGTCTGTCGGCATTGTGCCAGCACCGTTCCAGCGCCGTGCCAGTGCCTTGTCAGAACCCACTTGTAGTCAGGTGTGTTGATCGATCAATCTGAGCAGTACAGGCACAGTGCTAGCACGACACTGGAAGAGTGCTGGCACGGGCTACGTTGAACGAAACTCAAAGAAAATTTTTCTAACAAACCTATTGACATTTTCCCTGGCTTGCCCAGCAATGTTTCTCAACACCGAGTCGTCAATAAACGTGTCCACCTAAAATTTTAATTTTCGTAAAAATAGAAAAGTGTGTCAGTCAGGCTTACAGTGCGACCGAAGTCACCTTCGACGGTAAGTTTTGCGTCAGCCATCATAGCACCAACACTATTGCCTGCCATACATGAGTAAACTCCTTCATCTTGTCGGGTCACTCTCGTGATGGTCAACTCACTTTGGTCATCTGAAACCTAAATGACAAGAAAAATTGAAATTCAGGTCAGGGGCAAAGAGCTCGCAGCAAAAAATGCCTGGTTTCACCCTATGCTGCGTCCAAAGCTACCCGTACGCCGGCACGTGACAGGGCCATTCTAGCGCCGTCCAGCACCGTGTCAGCGTTGCGCCGTATGCCACTTGGAAGGACCGCACACTGATCAATTCGCACTGATCGATTGACAGCGCCTGCACAGCTCTGACACGGCGCTGGAACGGCGCCGGCAAAAGCAACTCTGGACGCAACCTTCCAGTAAGCTTGAACACCCACCATAAACCGTCCTTTAATATGGGGTATGACCGAACCTTCGAAGAACCATGAGATCGATGGTCTTGGAACACCCCGAGCTCGACAGGCAAAAGTGACCTAAAAATCGAATTTGTAGAATTGAGAAGGGTCTCGGTGATAGAATTACATACCTGTTGCCCTAACCGGACTGTTCGTGGCGATGGACCATCGTAAATATTTGGAGGGACACTGGAAGGAGCGAAAATGGTTAAAGAAGGGATAGATGAGAACTGCTAAGCTTATGGCAAAGCATGGTAGGGTATGGCCAGTGGCGTACCGAGGGGGGGCGGAGGGGGGGGCGCCCCCCCCCCCCGAGAATGGGTCGCGAAATTTTTGGAAGTTACTTACATGAGTTATAAAAATGTGCAAAAGACTTTTTTATACTTGTAAGTAATTAAAATAATTTTTAAAAAATTTTAAAAATTCAATTTAGCCTTATGCCCCCTTTTTCTGAAATTTTGGGGGTCCTGAGCCTCCAAAAATTTCAGGAAGCATACTGAAAATTTTTTCGGAGTGCGTGGCTGACGCCACGCACCTTCATCGAAAAATTTTTTTTGTCGCCCCCCCCCCCCCCCCCCCCCGAGCCGAAATCCTGGGTACGCCACTGGGTATGGCATACGATATGTCATGGTATGGTACGATATGGTACGGAATGTATGGTATGGTATGGTATGGTATGGTATGGTACGGTATGGTATGGTATGGTATGGTATGGTATGGTATGGTATGGTATGGTATGGTATGGCATGGTATGGTATGGTATGGTATGGCATGGTATGGTATGGTATGGTATGGTATGGTACAGTATAGTATGATATGGTATGGCATGGTTTATGGCATAGTATAATAGGAGAAATGGAATAAGTGAATGAATGGATGAATGAATGAACAAATCAATTAATAAATGAGCGATTGTATTATTGAATGATTGAATGATTGAAAAAATGATTCAAAAATAAAAAGACCATAGAAGCAAATGTTCACCTGCTAACCAATTGTAACCTAGCAGTATGTTGTATTTGCCCATGCACATTCGCTGCGATACAGGTGTAACTGAAATTCCGAGTTTGAAAAAAAAGTAGTGAAAGTTCAATCGAGGCACCTTCCAACATCCGATTCCAAAAAGGGATAAATCTTCAATATTGAATTTGCATTTGTCAACGTGTACTTTCTCGAGTTTACGATTGGCTGCAAACAAAATTAGTAACTTCTGAGTAGTATAGTGTACTGTACCACTACATTACCTGTCTTTTGTAGAACCAAGTGACAGTTGGTCTCGGTTCACCAATCACTTCGCAATTTAACTGTACAGCGGTTCCTTCCCTAGACGAAAAAAATTATTGGGGTACTCAATAAAAACAATCCTGTCTACCTATAAGAGCTGTCCTTTGGCTTAAATGTGAATTGCGGACTCTGTCCTGGTAAGAATCGCTGAGTCTGCCGTAGGCTCCTAAACGTGCAGAGATTCAGGGCATTTCCTTGGGGTCAGAGGAATGTACCTATGCGGAATGATACCGTAATCGGCAGTGCAGGTAAATCCATGAGCAGACGATTCCTTTGGGATTACCAAGGATCCATTTTCCTTCAGCTGATATGACTCAGCAGATGAGAAGTCTAGGTCGACATTGCTGGAAAAAATAATTTGATCAACTTTTTGCATTCAAGAGATCAATATAGTGAATGGGAAGGTAATGAGTGGTAGTTCTATGGCAGATTTTCAAGAAAAGTCAGCCATGTAAGTCCTAGAGAGCCCATGCGATGTCAGGGGGAAAATTATTGTGGGGAAAAGGAAAAAGGGATGCCGCATGGGAACATACAACAGCAGATGTTTTCGGCTCACGGAGACAAGCGCGCTCCAATCAAATTGAAACAGACTTTGCCACAATTCGAAAATTCGAAACGCCTTTTTTATCTCTAAGTCTACACAATACACTGATCTTTTTCTCCTCTACACAAAACACTGATCTTTTTTCTCCAAGATTTGAATATCATCCCCTTTTCGAGGGCTGAGAGGTCGTAGTTAAATAGAAATAATTTTTGTCTTCCAAGCAAAAAATTTCCAGTTATCTCCCAATAATTTTCTTGCTGGTCAGCCCTACTGCCAGTCAGTCAACTGTCATCGGCATGCGACCCCAAATTCTTCGCTGAGTCCATCATTCATTGTCCAATTCACAGCATGACGTCTCAAAGACATTAACTCATCATTCTTTGCATTGTTGCATTCCGTACGGGACATAGATGACCGGGGAGGGAGGAAGGGAGGGGGGGGGGGAAGGAGTGGAGAGATACTGTAGACTGAGAGGAATTGTGCTAAATAAGGGAAGATGGCATAGGTGTAGAATTGGAGCGGTATTTGTAGCGTTGAGATGTTAGATTCGAATTTGAAAAAGTCAAAAAGAATTTATGGATCGTGATAATTAAGATTAAAACTTGTGAAATAATGGGACTTAAAACTCACTTATAAAGCCAATGCACTTCTCCTCCACCGGGAGCTGGACAATTCAACACATTATTGTACTTGTTTTCGATTATGGTAGGCTCAACGCATGAGACATCACTGCCAGAAACCTTAATCATACCTTCTCATTATAATAAAGATAAAATATCAAAGAAAAAATATTTAAAAAAGTACCTGATGAAGAGATTTGCCACGTAGCCTTGGCGGATTGAAGCATTTTGCATCCTCAATAGGTTTTGATTTTCCCAGTGCAAAATTGGTCAGGCCGACAATCCTGCAAATTGAGAAGTTTTGATTGAGAAATGTGCTAAGGATTGTACCCTTTCAACTGGCTTGACATCTGGAAGGCGGAGCTTCGTGACTGATTGAGGCTGGGTAATGATCAGATAGCACGCGCGCGAGAGAGACGCAGACTGCGTCGAGGGTGCGAACGGCCTCAATTAGGTCACAAAGCTCCGCCTTCCAGCCGCCAAGCCGGTTGAATCAAAAGTAATATTCGAAGGAAGGATCCTACTAACGATTGTACGTTGTACACAATTATGATAATTTCTTTAGTATATCCTTATCTTTCTTTATTTTGAAGTTTTCTATCTGCCGGTTTTTTATTGATGCAGCGATTTATGGATTATTAGTTCAAAATCTCATGTCTAGAAAAAGTGAGGAATTCACAGAAAAAATTGTAGGTAACCACGAAAACGAGTAAACAGTTCACATCCGTTGAAATTAAAAATCAAAGAGTCAGAAAAGTGCGAAAATTTCAAAAATCAACAAAAAATTTAACCTGATACCCCGGCGGAAGGCGAACTTAGGAACAAAAGCAAACTCAAAAGACTCATGTATGTTTCTCTTTGGTGTTTTTTTTTTGCTCCACAGTTTTGTTTTGTGAGCTTTTTTGTGAATTTTTCGGCGCATTTTTCATGTAAAAAATAAATAAATAAATAAATAAACATTTTAATTAGTTGGAAAAACCTTTCTCTATGCAAAAATGTCGCAAAATTTTCGCTTTGATTGGATCAGGGTCTAGAAAGAAAGTAAAAAGAATGCAGTAGTCAGGTAAGAATGCAAATGATATTATTTTCCAAATTTATAAAAATTGTTTTTTTACCTGCAATCACAGTTCCACGGATTCCTATGCAATTTTAATGTGGCTATTCTTGAATTCTTAGTAAAAACCATTTGTGGAAGACTTTGCAGCTTATTATGTGCCAGGTCCAGTTGAATCAAATTTGGTAAGTAGGAAAAAGCCTGAAATTTGGGATCACTGGACCTCAGATAAAATTAGAGAGAATTTTTTGACCTACCTGAACGTCTATTGTAGAGATCTCATTGTGTCGAAGGTCTAGTGAAACTAAACGTGATGGCTGTGCTGCTAAAGAAGGAACCACTCGTAAGCTGTTTCGAGCTAAGCTTATTCTTCTTAGGAGTGGCAAAAAATCCAAGATATTCTGAAAAAAAAAGCAAAAATCAATTTTTTACATTTAAGGGTTGAAAAGTGCCGGTGACTTGCCTCATCTATGGTCCTAATTTTATTTTCGCTAATAATTAAGGTCTCCAAATGTTGGAGTCCTTTGACGTCTTCTATAGAAAGTCTTCCTAAACTGTTTCCACGAAGATTTAGGGTAATCGTGGTGGATGGGAGTTTGCTCGGGAAGGCAACGAGCCCTGAAAAACAAAGTTCAAATCCCGAAAAAATAAAAAAAACGAAGAGGTCGTGATTTTTTACCTCTAGAGGAGCAGTCGATTGTCACTTCGGTACAATTACATTCCGAAGGACATGCAGTTACCTCCGAGGTTAGTAACCCCAGAAGGAGGAATAACATTCCTGAAAGAAACTTTATGGGAATGGGATCTCCCCGAAAGTTACGCGCACGTCAGACGGCAGAAGGTTTGCGTCATTGAAAACTAGTTATGGAATAACAAAGAACTCAGAGAATGCAGGAAAATCCATAGAGGAGATTCAAGCCCCCCCCCCGGCCCCTTTGGCGAGGACAATACCCGGACCCATTGTGAGATTAGATCCGCTTACTAAGAGGATGCAGCAGATGTATGAAAGGAGGACGGCACCACTGTGAAGCCAGATGGTCGATTCATTACACTCTAGCTCATCCTCCTTATGCAAAAAGGAGGTCCTTAGAGGACAATGCTACGATTATATCGTTGTGTAAACATTAGGCAGAAGGCTTGGATTCGCAGTGTGATAGATTAGGTGGAAGACATTGGAGCAGAGCCAAGAAAAAATGGAGGAACATTGCAAGACAGGCTCTTTAATAAGTTTATTTCCTGGAATTCGTCTTTCTAGAGCTAGGATGCTCTTTGTTTACAGAACGAATAATCTTAGCCCTATGAAGGCTATAAAGAGAAATCTGAAACTTTATTCAAATCAATTCAAAGATTTCATTCTTATGCACCATACCATAGTCAACTGCACAGCAGAATTACGGTAGAATAGAGTAGAATAGATCTTCTGCGAAAATCGAAAGTCAATGACAGATAGGCAACATCTGGAAGCTATAAATTCTCCAATATCCCTTTCCGTCTTTTTGAAAAAAAGATATAAACGAGCAATAGTCGGCGGAGATAATCACGTAAAACGAAGATTGTAACGGATTGAGGAAAAAAGGTGGAGCGAGCATCTACCTCTCTTTTGAGAGCTAATTTCATATTTGTGCAAAGCCTGTAGATAACTGGTAGAAATCTGAACAGTAAAAATGATTCTTATTTTTGCAAACAGACTATAAAGGTTTGCGTGGTTAAATCAGTAGTTTCTGCACCTTGCGATAAATCAGGAGATTAGTAAAATCTCTAATGTCCAGGAGAGTTGTTGTTGAACTCTTCTTCAGTGAAAATAAGAGCTCAAAGAGAATATTGCACTATAACCCTTTGAAAAAGATTTTTAACGGTATATTCAGTAAATTTGAGAGCAAAGTTAACAATCACATGTTTGTGGTAAATAACAACTTTGCTTTTTTTTTCGAAACGTCGGACATGACATAAACATACGTGCTCTATCACTGTGTCAAACAATGGAGAGATACAGAACGGCTTGTTCATTAAAACATAAGTATTTCAAATGACCTGTGCAGCATATTTCGAACTAACACGGTAGTTGAGACTTCGTGGTGAAGGATTAGATGTGAAGGATTCTCATTCGATATGACTGCCAACTGAGGAAATGACATTTGAATGCATAATGCATGAACAACACGAATGGTGATAACCATACTAAAACTGACGACAGTAGTATCAGTTCATGTAGTCAACGGTTGCAGTTGGGTAGTTTAGCAGACATTCAAAAACTTTTTTGTAGAAAAGCTAATTATCGTTGAGCAGAGGTACATGGAGTGTCAACGGCAAAATGAGACGATGGTAGGTAAGTAGTTCAAGTCATCAGTAGATTAGAAATGTACTGTTCTACTTCCCTAGTTTCGTCTTTTAAGTCGAGTACACTTTACATTACATGTATACCACATATGCAATGTCACGATCGGGATCTAGAAGAGCGTGCAGATTAATCATATTATTTATTCTTTTTGTTGAAAGCATCTTCGCATAATATTTTCTTTCCGAAATAACGAAAAGAAGTAGAATTATAATAGCACCACTCCGCCCATTATCAGCAGAATAAAGGTCTTAGAATAAAGCACTTGTGGCTGGGAATACGCATATAAATATTGCAATGACTTCAATTTCTTTCTGGAAGCTTACTGAAGTAAACGAAGAAAGTAACAGAAAGCTTTACATCATTCAACATCCATTGAAAGCGGTGACTGATGAACAGGTATGCGAAGTTATTGTATTGTGACATCCAAAAAGCAAACCATGCAGTCCCCACTATGTTTACCTAAAAGCTCGATAAGAAGCATTTCATCCACGGAATGTATCAAAAAGTACAGTAAGCACAATCTAAACATCAGCATCTCGTCAAAGAACAATCGCGGAACAGTAGCAAATGTGTCAATCACCGGAATGAAACATGAGCCATAAAGGTGACAGACAGCTTGAGATTGTGAGACCACTTGAATCAGACATTCAATCCACTTATTCTAGTCTCGTAAGTCTCAAGGGACAATGAATTCGATGCAAATGCGACATTGATGGAAATCTGGGTGATTTCCTAAGCAAACAAAACTTGGAAATTGAAAAGAGAATTCACAGTGATTCGCGGAGAAGGTGAGGTGTCAAAGATGAAAGATTCATTCAAAGTAATAGGAGAGTTTTTATTAACAGCTTTTAATCTCTTGGTTTTTGTCAACTCTTTGAAATCCACCGTTTCCGCGCAACATTGATGAAAAGAAAAGAATCTTGTGCTAATTTAAGAAGCCAATTTTTGTTACAGTAATCCTTGTTGAGATAACCATTATAGCGTCTGCAAATCGAGAATCGCTGGCAAGTTGAGTTCTAATTTAATCCATCGTTTGATCTAAGAATCTGAATAAAAATAGAGTAAAAATTTGCAAGAAGAACGTGCTGAGGCATCGAAATAACACAAATCCAGTCTTTCCTCGCTAGAAAGAAACTTAACGCAAGTGTATTAGCTCTTACAATTAGATGATGATGCCGTGATGTCAATGAGTCGATAGGTATGCCAATTTTGCGAAGAAAAAAGTTTATAACTCGCTTCGGAATGGTGCTCGGCAGCTAGGAATAGCATAATTGGAATTAGCGTTTGAAGCTGATTCAGAATATATAATATATGTCCCTTGTCAAAGGGCAGAGCTGAATTAGATAGCATTCCTTATGAGGATTTTTGCCTAGTGCAACCACAAGATTGTCCAATAAAGGAGCCCGAGATGAAAGTAAACTCTATATCCAATGTTGGCTATTTGAGTGGGCAAGAAATCTATGTGAACCAAAACTCTGGAACAGCAAGGTGATTATGAAAGTGGTAGAACTCTTGTAGCTGTACGAATATTCTGAATCTTACAGCTCAAAAATACCAGTGGTACGAACATAAAATGTGTGAATATTTTCATGTCATTGACATTGATACCATCAACAAGAGCTGGAAAAGAGGCAATAAATTTTGGAAAGCAAAAAAAATGAAAGGACCGACAAGTGAAAAATTGTGGTGAAATAACATCGAAAAAGGCAAAAATCTTGCTAGCGTCTTCACGCTGGTTACGAGCGAAAAACAACTTGATTGACTTTATTGCTATTAGAGAACGGACATTTGTCAAAGTTTTTCTAAACTTTGCAAACTGTAACGGAGCATATTAGAGGCAGAGGCACAATAAAAGAAAAGTATGAAAGGGAGAAAGAAAGAAAGAAGCTTTACGAAATGCGCAATAGTTTGACATGAAACGGTGGAAGTATGTTTCAATGGATTCAATAGGACAAACGTGCCCGAAGTTTCGAGAATGAAGAGCTACTGCAGAAAATGTTTTCAAAAAATTGCACTAAGCACTTTTCTGAACATAATCCATCAAACTCCTCCAGTCTTCAGTTTTGCGGTAGCAAAAAATGAAACGCGTACTTCAAGGCAGAGGTCACGACTTTTCGTAATCATTAAAGCGTCTCAGCGCGAAAAAAAATTGAAGGCTCTTTTTTTACTCGAACAAAATTTCTACAGCTTCAAAATGACAGCGAAAACTTATATGGATACAGAGTGAGATATGAAGAAAAAACTGGAGAATCGGACTCGCAAAAATGACTATGAATTCACGAAGCTCAAAGGCTGAATATAATAAACATACATAGGTTCTAAATTTCAGCATTCTTTGCAGAAACTGAGGGGGAAGCGGGAAGAAAAGAGGGGGGGGGGTGTCCTCTTACTGTAGAATACTACAAACCATCATCAGAGACAACGGAGTCCACGAACGAAAGCGAAAAGAGCGATGGAATGTCCACCACCAAGCCCGACAACAGACTTCTCACTGTGCATCGCTCAACATGGCTTATGAACCTGGGTAGAGGAATGATTTACATGGAAAGGCGGACGGCACCATTGCGCATCATCCAGATGGTCGATTCATTACCCTCTAGCACATCCCCCTTATGCAAAAAGGAGATCCCAAGCAGACAATGGCTACGATTATATCGTTAAACATTAGGCAGAAGGCTTGCATTTGTAGGATGATAGAGGGGTGGAAGACATTTGGAGCAGCCAGAAAAACATGGAAAGGTTTGGCACGACAGGCTCTTCGTAACATTATTTCCTGAAATTTGTCCTTCTAGAGCTAGGATGTTCTTTGTTTGCAGAACGGATAATCTTAGCCCTATGAAGGCTATGCAGAAAAATCTGAGGTTTTATCCAAATAAATCCAAAGCTTCATTGCCTTATACAGCACATTCAACTGCACAGTGGGATTGCGGTAGGATTATAACAGATTTTCCGCAAAAATTCGAAGAAAATGACATATAGGCCCCGGGCAGACTTCACGCGATTTGATCGTCGCGACTGAGTCGCGACGAGACAACTGTTACAACATCATTCCATGCCGATCAACTTGCATTCGGTTGTGATACTTTTCCAGCCCGAAATTTTTGAATGTGAAATGAAAATGAATGGAAATCTTGGCGATTAGATCGCGACGATTAAGTCGCGTGAAGTATGCCCGGGGTCATAGACAACATCTGGAAGCTATAAATTCTCCATAGCCCGATCGGATACATAAACCTTTTTTGCGTCTTATTAAAAAAGATTAAACGAGCAATAGTCGGAGAAGATGACCACGTAAAACGAAGATTGTAACACAATGAAAAGAAAAAGGTGGAGCGAGTTAGTAAAAGTCTGAACAGTAAGAAACATACTAATTATACTTGGAACAGATTATCAAGGTTTGAGTGGTTGAATCAGTAGTTCTGTACCTTGCGATGAATCAGGAGATTAGTAAAATCTTTAATGTCCAGAGGACTTGTTGCGGTTGAACTCTATTTCAGCGAAAATAAGAGCTCAAAGAGAATATTGCCACTATTTCCTTTTGAAAAAGACTTCCAACGGTATATCCAGCAAATTTGAGGGCAAAGTTAACAATCAAATGTTTGTGGTGATTAACAACTTTGCCTTTTTTTCGAAACGTTGGGCATGACATAAAGGTACTGCTCTATCACTGTGTCAAACAAAGAGAGATAGAACGGCTTGTTCATTAAAACATAAAATATCGGATCAAATGAATGTGCAGCATAATGCGAACTAACATGGTAGTTGAGACTGTCGTGGTGAGGGACTAGATAAGTGAAGGATTCTCATTCGATATGATTGCCTTTTGAGAAGATGACACTTGAATGCATAAGGTTATAAGAGACTATAAATACTAGTTATCCCACGAAAACTGATGACAGTAGCAGCAGCTTTATGTAGCCAGCAGTTGCAGTTATGTCAGTTTGGGAAACATTCGAAGATTTTTTTTTGTAGCAGAGCTAGCTATGAGCAGAGATACTTGGAGTGTCAACGGCAAAGGAGATAATGATGAGTGAGCAGCCCAAGTCTCAGTAGATTAGAAATGTACTGGATTACTTTCGTCTTCTAAGTCGACTATACTATATAATTTGCATGTAACCAAATTGCAATGTCACGAACGGAGTCTAGAAGAACGTGCAGATTAATCATATGATTTATTTTTTTTTGAAAATGTTCTTTGCATAATATTTTCTTTCCACAACAATGAAAGAAAAATTGGCTGGCTCAATAAGCATTACCAAATGCACATGAATGCAATTATTTTTTTATTTTATTTTTTTATTTCATAACAAACTCAAGGTGCATTCAAAGGAAAAAAGATCAAACAGAAAGCTCAAACAAAAACACAACACATGAACTAGCCTCCCAGTCACAGGGAACAGAAAATAAAGGACGGATAACAAAACACAAAGCTCTAGACCCATCTAGCGAAGTAAAAAGCACTTTGCACAAAAAATCTAAAGACTTCTTGCATCCTTAAAAAAAACATGATGACCCCCTTTTTGGGTGTCAGCGAGCCTCCCCGGTAAAAGCTAGCTGAGCAGGCCTCGATAGGACTTTGTTTTGAAGGAAGCAAGAATCTAAATTGGAGTGGTAGGGATAAGTAACTACTGACTACGTTAGAACGAGTCAAACCAATCGAACCAACAGACGAAATCAAGCAGACTATAGATGGGGCCAGGCTCTTCCTTTATAGAAGGAAGAGCCTGGCCCCATAGAAGGATGGCCCTCTAGAAGGATTTTCTTTATAGAAGCTCAATGAAGAAAATGAAGAAAATGAGAAGCTCTCGCAGCATTCAACATACACTTTAAGCGGTGACTAATAAACAGGAATGCAAAGTTATTGTGCTATGGCATTCAAAGAGCAAACCATGCAGTCCCCACGATGTTTACCTAAAAGCTCGATAAGAAGCATTTCACATGAAAAAGTACAGTATACGCAACCTAAGCATCAGTATTTCATCAAAGAACAATCACGAAACAGTAGAAAATGTGTCAATCACCGGATTGAAACATGAGCTATAAAGATGACAGACAGCTCGAGATTGTGAGGCACTTGAATAAGACATTCAATCCACTTATTCTAGTCTCACAAGTCTCAAGGGACAAAGATTTGGATGCAAATGCGACACTGATGGAAATCTGGAGCGATTCCGATTTCATAAGCAAACACAAAAGGAAAATGAGAAAGGAAATGCAGATACTTGAAGTTATCAGAATTTACTTGAAGGAGGGGTTTTGACCATGACGAAGAAAGAATCATCAAAATGAACGAAGAGTTTTTATTAGCAGCTTCTAACTTTTTGATACTTTTACAAATCTACCACCACTTATATGCAACGTTGTTTAAAAGAGGAGAATTTTCTATTAGCTCAAAAACCCAATTTTTGTTGAAGTACTTCAGATTTGGAGTGGGGGTGCAATTAAACTAATGCAAAAAGCTAAGAAATTGTTCGGAGTAACTTTCGGAAGCAGCTCAAATGCTTGACGTATGAGATTAAGCTGCACAAATTCGTATATTTACCGCTTATGTTATGCGCCCTTATTGAAAATAGAACAGCTTTTGCTATGACATTTAGAGTGCAAAAAATCGTTGCATATAGTTCTATTTCCTAGAAACATAACCAACTCCACTTTTTTGCTTAATGCAAACCTCAAGATTGTTCAAGATAGGAGCCCAAGATGAAAGTAAACTATATCCAATGTTGGCTATTTGAGTGGGCAAAATTCTATGTGAACCAAAACTCTGGAGCACCAAGGTGATTATGAAATTTCAAACTGATGTAGCTGCACCAATATTCTAAATCTTAAAGCTCAAAAATACCAGTGGTACGAAAATAAAAGGTGTGTTTATTTTTATGTCACTGAATTGATACTATCAACAAGAGCTGGAAAAGAGGCAATAAATTTTGGAAAGCAAAAAAAATGAAAGAACCGACAAGTGAAAATTATGATGATAAAACATCGTAAAAAGCAAAAATCTTGCTAGCGTCTTTACGCTGGTTACGAGCGAATAACAACATGATTGACTTTATTGCCGTTAAAGAACGGACATTTGTCAAAGTTTTTCTAAACTTTGCAAACTGTAACGGAGCATATTAGAGGATAGAGGTAGCGGCAAAATAGAAGAAAAGTATGAAAGAGAGAAACAAAGAAAGAAAGAAGCTTTCCGAAATGTGCAATAGTATGACGTGAAACGGTGGAAGTACGTTTAGTACGTTTTGATGGGTTCAATAGGACAAATGTGCCCGAAGTTTTGGAGGATGAAGAGCTATTGCAAAAAAAGTTTCCAAAATATTGCACTAAGCATTTTTCTGAACATAATCCATCAAACTCCTCCAGTCTTCAGTTTTTTTTAAGCAAAAAAATGAAGCGCATACTCCAAGGCAGAGCCCACGACTTTTCGTAATCAGCAAAGGACGTCTCAGCGCTCGAAAAAACATTGAACTTTTTTTTTACTTGAGCAAATTCCCACAGCTCCAAAATAACAGTACAAAAGTAGTTGGGTACATAGAGAGTAATTTTTAGAAGACTGAAAGTCAGACTCACAAACATAGCTATAAATTCAGAAAGCTCAAAGGTATGAATATTATAAAACATAGATTCTAATCTTTGGCCATGAATATTATGAAACATAGATTCTAACCTTTGGCATTCGCAAAAATTGAAGAGTGAAGGGGGGGGGGGGGAGTCCACCTACTGTAGAATACCTCGAACGGAGACTATCATTAGAGACAACAGACTCCACGAACGAAAGCGAAAAGAGCGATGGAATGTCCACCACCAAGCCCGACAACAGACTTCCCACTGTGCAGTCATCTCTCAAGATGGCTTATGAACCTGGGTAGAGGAATGATTTACGTCAGGGGGGGGGGGAGGAGTAATGAGAGAGGGACGTTTGGAAGCTCTTCTCCTACGACTGCAGTAATGTAAGCGATTGATTACCGATCGTAATCGAATAATTGTGGATGTCAGCGAGTATGGAACCGGTCCATTTGTTTGTTGTAAATTCACGCCTTTTTGTATTAACATCAACATTTGTATGGACGGAAGAACTCAAAAGACCGACAGCAGATTTTTCCAAAAGGCTCTCTCATTAGAAAAACGCCCAGTCCCCCCCCCCCCCCCCCACCCTTCCCGAAAATAGGTTGCAAAACCTTTGAAAGTTATCTAAATGAATTATGAAAATGTGTTTTTACTTGTAGATAATCATAAAAATTTTGAAATTTTTTAAAAAGTCAAATTAGCCTAGTAATAAAAATCTTTCAGGGGAAGGGGGAGGCTCGCAAAATTTTGTAAAGCTTTTGTGAGCGCTTCCAGTGGAAAGGAGCTTTCGCCATCTGCAGATTTTTTGTTGCCAAGAAGAAAGTCGCCAAAGGCATAAGTCTCAAAATTTACAAAAAATTAACAAAACGAAAACAGTAAAGAGAGATCTTGTCTGTGTAAATTTCTCTAATTGGCAAATTGAGAAAGGAGAGGATTAAACGATTTTACTGACTACACACATAGGCAAGAAGTGAATATTTGATAGACTACCGATTTTGTGCCTATACAAATATTCAGAAAGTTTGAAATAGAAATATACTCCGCGGTTTGAGGGAATGGATATTGAGTTAGAGATCAATCCTGAGCGGACGGCATTAGTTGCGCATCATCCAGATGGTCGATTCATTACACTAGCACATCCCCTGATGCAAAAATGAGGTCCCTAGAGGACAATGGCTGCGATTATATTGTTGTGTAAACATTAGGCAGAAGGGTTGCATTTGCGAAATGATAGATGAGGTGGAAGACATTTGGAGCAGAGCCAAGAAAAAATGGAGGAGCTTTGCACGATAGGCTCTTCAATAACTTTACTTCCCGAAATTTGTCTTTCTAGAGATAGGATATTTTTTGTTTATTGAACAGATGAATTTAGCCCTATGAAGGCTAAGGAAATAAATCTGAGATTTTATCCAAATACATTCAAAGACTTCATTGCCCTATGCAGCCATCTGCACAGCAGGATTACAATAGAAATAGATTTTCTGTAAAAATCCAAAGAATATGAAAGATGGACAACATCTGGAATCTATAAATTCTCCAATAGCCCGATCCGACCCATAAATTTTCTTCTGCTGTAAAAAAAAGAATAAACGAGAGCTTGTAAACGGAGGCGATCACGTAAAGCGAGGATCATAACGAATTGGAAAGAAAAAGGAGAAATAGTACACTTTTTGAGCCGTAAAAACATGTATCCGTTTTTGATATGTAGTCTACTCAATTTTCTTAATGTTGTTGGGAATTCAAGCGATTTATTTGGCTAGGTGTGAATCAGCTTTGTAATAGAGATTTCTTAACAGACTTCTGAAGATGTCAAGAGATGAAAGTTTGAAAGAGAAAATTGTTGTCACTTCTCCTGCAGTAAATTAAAGCGTGAGTAATGTAAGGAGCAGTTTCTGCAAAAGGAATAGGGATATTTGAACAATTGCTATATACTCGAAGCGTGAATGTTTTCAAAATAAATTATTTGCCCTTGTAGAAAGGATGAGAATCCAAACTTCATATGGAAAGGATTAATGCAAGCTGAGATGCTCCCACCTATCATTCCAAGTCACCAAAAAAGTGCTATAAAGATATTTGATGGCGTTGTAAGCACAAAAATCTGATTAAAAATTATTTTGGTCCAATCAATCGCCCCATACAGAAGGAACTTCTATGCGTAATCATAAAATCCGTTTCAAAATAGCAGACTTGAGTTGACGCAGTTATTTCCACGAACCTTGCTCTCTAAACAGTTCCTATACATAAGCGTTTTACTTCTAACTAGACTTTCTTCTCAGTATTTGAAAAAAAAATAAGCTTTACAGACATTCCTTCCTTATTGAGGAGTTCCGGGGATGGTCTGTAAATACTCTCACACCGTCTAAGGACAGGAACGAAACGGAGCCTTTTAGTTATTTACACTCTGGGAATTGGAAACACTTCTTCTTATTATTTTTATTATTCAAAAGCGTTTAGAAAGGCTAGGGTTTTTTTTGCAACAAAGTTAGTTATTTCAAGTGCATAGAAAAATGAGTGAAGTGTGATGAGTGAGGGCTCAGTATTTAGTATATAAAAAACGTGCTAGATCGGTTTATGACATGAGAATAACTCAATCATTTTCAACTAATTTGTTGTATCTCATAGGATGCGGCCAAGAGCGTAGGGCATCACGTAGAGTCGGTCAAAAAGGGCAAAAAAGCTATCGAAAAGAGACAAAGTAAGAACTCAGGCAACTGACCGAAACTTCCGCAGAATGTCTGGCAAACGTTTGTAAGAAGTCCTGCGGAAGTTCCCGTTTTCAATCAGTTTGGAGTGAAAATCCTGCGGAAGTTCCCATATTCAACGTTTCCACTTTTGCAATAGTAAGCAGAACCCTGCGGAACCTTTGCAGTTTTCGCTTGTCCTGCGCAAATTCCGGTGAATTGTCCGAGAAGGCGAAAAATGAACAGCCGCATCCAATAATTTCACTTTTCACCATGGAATAAAATCAGTGACTAATGAAAAAGAATGCAGAATTATTGTACTTACTATCCAAAGAGCAAACCATGCAGCCCTCACGATGTTTATCTAACAGCTTGATAAGAGGCATTTCGCCCTCAAACAACACAAAAGAGCAGAGGAAGCTAATCAGCAAATGACTATCAAAGATCTGGAACATGGAATAGTAGCAGATGTGTCGCGTCGAGATGAAACATGAGCTATGAAGTGACAGACAGCTTGAGATTGTGAGACCACTTGGACACTATTCAATCCACTTATTCCAGTCTCGAGAGAGAAAGAGAGTCATTTCGGCGACATTAGTTGGGATTTAGTGTGATTTCCAGAGTGAAGTGAGAAAAGGAAAAAACGAAAAGCTAGAAGGAGGAGTGTGTACTGGAGAAAGTGAGGCAC